AATTAGATTGAATAACATTTCATTCTAAATAACATAAAAGGATTAATAATAATTTCGATATTTATTCTATAATCATAAGGTCATTATCTACTTGTATATTTATTTGCGTGTTTAATTTCTAATTTTCAATAGAAGTCCTTAACTTAACTGTTCACTTGTTCAATGATGATCTAATCAATATTAATTACTAACAGGAAAGAAAACAAAAGAAAACAAAACTTAATCTGTCAGAATCAAATTAAAAACAGAATTAAAGTAACCATTTCATTATCTAATCAAGGTCAATCAGATAATTGTTTTACTTGAATCTTTTGATTGATGTGTTAGGACTGCAATTGATCAGTCTGTTATTGGCATATATATATACTATATGTATTGCTTGGATATTGCATTAATTCACAAGCATTATAATCAAAAATGGATGGTGGTTAGTAGTGGAATGCCCCCAAATGCCCTGGTACAGCCGAGAGTTGGGAGAGTCTGCTCTCTCTCGCTCTCGCTCTCTCTCTCGAAATGCTTTCACATGACCGCGTGCATACAGCCACTGACAGCGAAATTCTACTCACTGACTTCTCGCGGCATTACCGTTGTTTACGAAATTGAGAGGACGAAAAGTGAATGTCCGACGCTTTAACCGGGTTGGTGGATAAGGAAGATCCATCAAAGTGAGTTTGAACACCCTGATTCCAAATCAATGGTGCACATGAGATTCAGTATCCTGGAGGAACAAATGGCGTATGAACCAATTATTGGTCACCGGCTACCATGGAACTGCATCTCCTCACGTTACTCCACTGCCTTGTGCACTAGACGTTTAGGTCGAAGGCTCTGGGTGGGGCCTCCTAAGAAAACCACCTGCTTCAGTTTGGGCACCCGAGCAGTATTCTAGCCCTCACACAAATCAAATGATTTGTGTGGTGCATATCTATTTGGTGCCTTCTTGTACCTATGTTTATGTATTTAAATAAATAAACTGGAACACAGGGCGCGCGTTTCGTCTTATTTGGGACTCTTCGGCTGGATATACCTGCATCCGACAGTTGATATTCACTCCAGGACTCGAACCCAATACCGTTTGCTTCAAGCGTCATCGTGTTATCCACTCAGCTACTGAATCCTCATAGTCACTAGCTTCTGCAATGTGGTAAAGTTTAAATTCACATGATACCATTTAATTGAGTCTTCCCATTGATGTGCTAGGACTGCAATTGACCAGTCTCTTAACTGACATATGTGCATACTATGTGTATTGCTTTGATATTGACTTAATTCGCAAGCATTATAAGCAAGTATGACGTTTGAAGCGAACGGCATTGGGTTTGAGTCCCCAAGTGGACATCAACTCTGAGATGCAGGTACATCCAGCTGACGAGTCCCAAATAAGAGGAAACGCGCATCCTGCATTCCGCTGCTAGCCATTGTTCATGTTCGCTTAGAATGGTTGTGAATTAAAGCTATATCGAGGCAATACGCACAGAATGCATATATGCCAATAAGAGACGGATCAATTGCAGTCCTAAACATCAAACGGAACATTCAAGTAAACAATACAAAATGAATTTTAACTTGACCACATTGCACAAGCTAGTGTTTATGAGGACTCATTAGCTGAGTAGATAACACTATGATACTCAAAGCGAACAGTATTGGGTTCGAGTCCTGGAGTGGATATCAACTGTGAGATATAGGTACATCCAGTGGACGAGTTTCAAATAAGACGAAACGTGTATCAAACTGGATTCCACTACTAGCCACTATCCATCTTTGCTTATAAATACCAATGTTAAGAACTCATTTCCCTAAAAAGAGAATAACAATAGAAGAGTAATGGTGAATGTGTATGAAAAACGAATCTAACTCTCTTGCAATTACAATATATTAATCCTTGGGATTAAAGTACATTTGAATTCCTGACATAATAATAAGTTTTCTTTTAAAAACAAAAAAAAATATGTGGAAAAGGAATTTACAACTAAATTGAAAAATTAAAGAAAATAAAACGTGATCTCCTTATGAAAGAAACAAAAATCAATTACTGAATATTGATTGATTATCTATCTATAATGATATAAAATTAAATCAATAATGTGAGAATGAGAAGATACCAAATTACAATTATCAAACATACATACATACAATGTGAGTCTGTATTATTTGTTTGTTTGTTTGTTTTTGGATTGTAAGGATAATTATTAGGCTACCATCATTTACTCACGTGTACTATCTTCCAAGTGAGTAGTCCCTTCATCTTAATAATAAACACGTGCTTTCCTGAAGCAATAACTAGTGGAATCCAATTATGAGGCCATCAGACAGTTAGCAGAAACGTTAATCAACGATCGCTGTGCTGAAGCTATAAGTGTTAGTCATTGAATACAAACTCATTGGTTTGAAGAGTGTCTTCGCCAGCATGTTCTACCAAAAAGTGTAAGATATAGACCTCCAATCAACTGCCCATTAGGATGGAAAATAGCTGAGCAAAGTGGAAGAAAAATGGTACACCTAATGATAACGGATACACACTACAGAATCCGCAAATACCAACACGTCATAGAGGACCAAAAAATGAGGCTACAAAGGACACTTACATCAGAACACTTGGAAATCTTGACAACAGCCATCGAGATATCACGCAAACGACACAGAGTACAAAGAAGAAACACCTTAAAGAAAAACCATCCAGCTCAGAGAACAAAACTCCACCAAAATTGAAGAGTAGGCGCTTGCAGAGAGACCTGAAAGTTTTGAGTTCGACCTCTATCGGTATCGTTAGTGTGCAAGCTGGGTAGTACCTTACTGTACAGTGTTCCTTGGCTTTCTGTAATTAATTCGACGTGATAACTTATTTCTATATATCAAGGACTTTTATGGTGATGCCTAAAAATCATATATTCTTCATAGATATTAGCACATAAACTTGGGGTTAGTCTAGAACTCAACAGAAAACTATCTTTGTTTTATGGATTTCATGATTTACAAGGCGTTTTCTGTTATATCCCACTGTTCAACAGTGGGTATCCACTCCATCCCTAGGTACTGAACCAATGGACGTTGTAGCACCATTCGAGATAAGCACATTATCTTTAGACAATTGATTTGACATCCATATTTAGTCCACATTATGGTTAAACTAAACCACTTGTTAATAGCAAATGACAATCAGATCATCTAGCAATAATTTTGTAATCGATGAATACTCGAACACCACATTAGTAAAGTTTTAGGCTGAGGCTGGGTGACATGCGATTGATACAAATGGAAAATATCAGTTCTCTAAAGATTTCATCTTTGCCCTGTTGACGACTACCAACTAGTGAGAAACTTGAGTTCAGGGTTAATTAGTTCTAACATAAACATTTATATCGATGTGCCTCCAAAGTCAGTGAATTTCTCAAATATTTCGAGGAAGTTTTCTGTTTTAATCAGAAGGTGACTTTGTGGAAATTTTAATAATTTTATGGTTGAAATCATGGGTCAATTAAAGCTAGACCACCATGGAAAACCTGGAAGCATTACATGGCCGTTTCGTTCTCGTATGAGACTCTTCATCAGTGCGCGTCCACGATCCTGCACCACGAGATTAGAAACCAGGATATATCAGCCTCGCACGCGAACGCTTAACCTCTAAACCACTGTTTTTTTCTGTTTTAACTGACTAACTGTTTACTGTAATCACCCAATATACTCACTCAAACGATCTGATAACAAACTTACAGCCTATAACCACTGCTAAATTCGAAAGAAATCATCACAGTTATTGACATATATTTATTTCCATTATATTCTTTTGTCACTGAAATGAAAAGTATGTCAGAATTCATTCATCAAATTATCTTAAGAGTTAAATTGGTCAGAAAAATTTCATTAATAAAGACGCATGACAACTAACTACCGTTTAAGAATTCTATTCACTTGTATTTTGAATATTAACAAGTTCTGTGGGTAATAAAGAGGACTGATATGTCCTGATTTCGAATCTCGTGGTACAGGATCGTGGACGCGCATTGACGAGGAATGCAATACCAGGAGGAAACTGCCTTTCAATGCTTCCAGGTTTTTCATGGTGATCTAGCTTCGATTGACTTATGAATTTAATTATTAAAATAGGACTTTATTAGAATATTCTATAGTGAAACACAAGTTATTGAATTCAAGGATTATTGTTTATCAGTTACTGATATTAAGCCACTTTGTTCGATATGCCAAGTGAGTAGAAAAATTCAATTTCATTGGTTATTACAATTCTATATTTCCCTTCTCCAATTTAAGCCAACAGGGCATTTAAGGGTGAATTAAAGTACATCTTAACTACTATCAAATTGTAAGTTTAATATCTATGACATATTTAAAAGGTCAACATAATGCACAAATTAATAAGAGTTTAACATTTTTCTTTTATTGATCAGTTTATAACCATTGATTGTGTAACTACTTTTCCCCTAATATTGAGCAATGTTTACATCTGACATATGGAAAGTTTTGTTAACCTAGAAAATATTTTTTATATGTCTGTAGGCAAAGAATAGAGAACAGACAGGTTAGTGGAATTAACTCAAGTAACCGTAGTAATAATAGTAGTTGTTTGTTGTTGTTGTGGTGGTGGTGGTTGTAGTGTTCAACCATTTTCTTCCCAAAGTGGGAGACTCTTAACCGTAAGGAAAAAATCCAAAATTTCTTCATTAATCTAATCCCCGTCAGAACCAGCTAAAAATCCTTAAATTTTCTTTCATTTTAGCAACAAAAAATAAGGACATAACTGTTTTTGTGATAAGTGGAATTTGTCTGTCCAACTACTACTACTACCACCCCCCCGCTTCATGTCATTCTGACAACTGCTAACATACTATTGCTTGATGTGTGTGTACCTCTACGTGACCTTCAAGTGGTAACCAATCAAATCTATCGCTTTTGATTAAGTGGTAGACGAAGTTTGTGATTGTTGATTATTCAAATCTCAAAACCAATAGTATTATTTATCGTACATACTGAAAGTCTATTGTATGATAATGACGATGAAGGACGAAGTTGTCGTTCCCCCTGGTCTAAGGGAATTATTACAAGAATTAACTGTGTCTATACTGCGAGAACACCCTGATAATTTAATTCAGTTTGCTATTGATTTCCTAATGATGAAGAAGGCGGCATCAGAAAATCGTCCAAATAAAACAACTGAAAGTGAAGATGAAGATGAGGAACCTATGCCTATACCTCCACAAAGAGCTACTCGAAGAGCTGGTGTAGCTGCGGAAAGTTATGATCCAGAAAAAGATGATACTTCAAATGTAGAGAAAGTTGTACATCCTAAAACAGAAGAACAACGTCGAAGATTAGCTCAAGCCACTAAAGATATTCTCCTTTTCCGATGTCTTGATGATGATCAAATGAAAGATGTTATTGATGCCATGTACGAACGTCATGTATCACCTGGTGAAAAAGTAATTACACTTGGTGAAGATGGTGATAATTTTTATGTAATAGAAAAAGGAGTTTATGATATCATTGTGAAAGTTAGTAATGAAGAAAAAACTGTTGGAAAATACGACAATAAAGGGTCTTTTGGTGAATTGGCACTGATGTATAATACACCACGAGCTGCAACCATTTTAGCCAAAACTGAAGGTGTAGTTTGGGTAATGACACGTGAAGTTTTTCGTTCAATTGTATTGAAAAAAGCATTTGAAAAACGTAGATTATATGAAGAACTACTTAATCAAGTACCAATCCTAGAAAGTCTCAGTGCTTATGAACGCATGAGTATTGCAGATGCATTAAGAACAAAAATCTTCAAAGATGATCAACAAATTATCAAACAAGGTGATCCAGGTGATGAAATGTTCTTTGTTGAAGAAGGCAAAGTACGCATTAAAATGAAAAGAAGCGGAGAAACAGAAGAAAAAGAAGTAGCTGTTATTGAAAAAGGTGGTTATTTTGGTGAATTAGCTTTATTAACAAGTCATCCACGTGCTGCTTCAGCATATGCTGATGGTCATACTAAACTTGCTGTATTGGATGTTGGAAGTTTTGAACGTTTACTTGGTCCTTGCTTAGATATACTCAGAAGGAATATTGACGATTATGAAGCTAAACTAAAAAATATTTTTGGTAGTTTAGATAAAGTACCAGAATTAAGACGTTAATTATGAATTACTTTTGATGATTAACGTCTTGATTTACATGTGATCGTCGATTACTATAATAATTATTATTCTTATCGTAATTACACTGTTCTTTGTGTTCAACCGAATGATCCAACTTTCATGGATATTCATATTCTTTGATTAGTGAAAGGAGATGAGTCAGATCATAGTGAGTACAGTATATATTTTGTTTTTATTTGCTTATATATATATAATTTAAAACAAAATTATGTACATATACGTATTTTCCTCTTTTTTTTGTTGTTGTTGTTGGTTGTTTACTTAAGTGGTAATATGGAATCTACATGTTTCCATGTAAACCGTTACTCGATTTTTTTTCCAAATTGTTTCAACTGTTTTTAATCCTTTCATTAAGTAACTCGTAATTTTAGTCACTATTAACATTACTATTATTATTATTATTATTATTATTATTATTATTATTTTGGATATTACTTGTTCACTGATCATCACTATCATTCATAATATTGGTATGATGCACAAAAAATTGACCATCATACAAGACTATGTGTAGATTGTATTAGCTCAATTCTATATTCTAGTAACACAATAAAATTCTATCTTTTATTCATATGTATCGTTTTTTGATGATCATTTACACTTTATTACTATGGTGATGGCTGATATTCACTGTAATGAGCATTGTTACCGTACATAGATATAGAAAAGAAAAGAATTTCAAGTAATTCTTTCTTAGTTATTCTTTTTTTTTCAATCAATTGCTTACATTTCATTTCTCATGTACCATATAACATGTGCAAATAGTAAGAGAGTTGAACTGTTATATCCAAAAAAAATACGCTGGTATTACTTATCTTATGAGGCATGGACATATATATTGGTAAAACAATTACACATAATACATTCATCCTTCGTTACTACTAATATCTGTATCATTTTGATTACTTGTACTTGTGAGGGGGGGGGGGAGAGCTACCCGATATTTTTCATTTTTGTCATTCTTTTTTTTCTTTTTGAGCTCATTGTTTTCTTTCTCTTTTTGTTTGTTTATTCTGCTGTCCTTTATGTTTTTTTTCTTCTCATTAATGTTCTCTTATTTTCTTCCATTAATCCTTTATAGATAATCAGTGAAAACAAAAAGATATATCATCAATTATTTGTTTTGATGTATCCGTGTTCACGTTCTTGTTACTGATTAATCTGGGTAGTAAGGTTTTAAAATATACTTGTATAATGAATTAAACAAATGAGTTAAGTAATTCATATATATTGATTATGTGTTAGATTCTTATGTTACTTATAAATGGTTATATTTCTGTGTTCAAATGGAAGTAGTTTGAGTCAAGTTTCAAATTTGTAACTGAATGAATAAAAGGTATTTCATACACTATTAAACTGTATGTATTCATATTTTACTGAATTGAGCTTTTGAAAATTGTTCTTTAAACTGTATTCGTGGATGTACATTACTGAAGAGTCTCATAATAGGATCAAATGGCCATCCATTGCTTCCAGGTTTCTCATAGTAGTTTAGCTCCAATTAACTCATGATCTCAACTATTGAAATTACTATAATATATCCACAAAAATAAACCCTTTTGATAAAAAAAAGCTAGACAACTAATTGCTTCAACTAAGTTTATATCAGACTGTTCGTTGGAAAAGATCTCAAATATGCAGTTTTTAGTAATGTAGAATAATGTGTTGGTTAGTTAGTATTTATAAGTGAATTACAACATCGCTAATGTATGCTTCAACTCTAATTCAGACAGTTTTTAGATAAATTTTATTGTTTAGTAACTAAGATTGGATTGTTATCGTTATAACTTGTGGTTTTGTACCCTTGGTTCTTTGTTGTTTACCCCGTCGCCAGTTGTTATAACGCTCGGTTTTACTTCGTCTAATGTTATAACAGTTGGGTTTCCATGTATGGGACGTTAATTTACCTTAAACGATTATCTAAACTAGATCCTTCCCAGTGTCTATTCTACAGGAACTCAACACAATTCAGATCAAGAACACATGATTAGCCTGACCACAACGTAAATATATTTCTACACCTAAACCCGACACAATCCAACAACCATGAACAATCAATAATAAGTGTGCCATAATAATTATAAGGATAAGGGAATATATAACTTATCTGACACCTATCAGACTATGTACACGTCTGACTAAGCAGACAACCAATCATTATCATTCTCGTTCACACATGAGTTATGTTATGTTCAATCAGTCATTGTGTGAATGCATTTGGGGAAATTTCTCTTGTCAATAATATGTATATATGGTTGTAGTAAAATAGTAAATTATAACTGAGTGCAATTTTTTATATGTTGAAGTAAGAACAGTTTGCTTTGTATATTGGAATTTCCGATCATAAGGGTTACAAGCTCGAAATCTAGTCACATTTGAGTTGATTTCATCGAACCGGCAATTGGTTTTCACAATGAATGTGTACTATTTGTAAATGTATCATGCCACATACAAATAAATGCATGTCGTTTAATAGATGAACAATTTTTTCACTTACTTTCATTATGACTTTTAATAACATCTATGATGGAATGGATAAATGTTGGTTTAATTCAGTGTTTTAATAACTAGTTAACTGAATACATTGATTAGATTAGTTGAGCAATGATGATATCTAGTTCTTGTCATTGGGTACTATTATTTGACCACAGTTGCTTTAGAAACATTGCTCGCATCTGCTGGGATCACCAGGTAAATAATAGTGAGGTTAGACACAGGGTATTGGTGAACGATAGAAAATCAGTTGATGAGGTTGTGAATGTTCATCGACTGAGATGATTGGACCACGTGTTGCGTATGTCTGAGCACCGATTACCACGACGCACAATGCTGACTAGTGTTGGGGATGGTTGTAAGAGAGTTAGGTTCGGCCACACCAAAACGTGGCATCAGTCGTTGAAGTCAGACTTCTGGTCTGAGTCATGTTGGTAGATGCGAACTGCTTGGTTGGGGTCCGCGTGACCAATGGTTTGAGACTGTGGGTGACATGGCTCAGAATCGACCACAATGGTGTAGGTGTATACACTCTTTCTCTTCTCTTAAACTATGAGATTAAAGTCGCTTCATATCTTTATTTCTACGAAGTAATTCTTTCTTCATGTACTATATCCTTATATGCAATCTTTCTTTTATATATTACTACCATTGAATTAACTACTTCTATGAATTCGGTGTTTATCTTGTTGTGTTAATGAGTGAGGTATGGCAAATTGGAGCGATGCATATATATGTGCCTGGTTCTACGTTGTAGCTGACTGACTGAATGTAAAAAGAAGAACTTGTAGTAAGTAAGTAGCAAGTTTGTCAAGAAAAAGTCAATATATAACTAACTATAAATAAAAATGATATATTTGTAATATCCCAATGAGTAGAAAATTGGATTTTCTGACGTTTCGTGACTTAGTGTCAGTCACTTCTTCAGAGAATAAATAACCAAATTAAAATTAATCCAAGTTTAAATAGTACAACGGAACAATGCAAGAATAACATTTGATCAATCAAAAAACAGGTCTGAACAAGTTGATGTCTTGTCATTTCTGTCAGGGTGATACATAAGTGATAAGTATGTAAATTTGTGTGTGTATGTATATGTGCATTGTTTAAGAATGAAAACTTGTGTGACCTTTATGGTAAGACAGGATAGAGTTTAAATTTGTAATATGATAGTGTGAAATTGTGAATGCGATCAGACTGAATGGTTAGGATAGATGATCCAAGTAGGATGTATAGTAAGACCTTCCTTTCTATTGAGAGAAGTAGGATTAAGCATTATATGGAACGCCTCAGCTATCCTCCTTTCTTTCATATGGTCCTGTTGAGAGATGTTCAAGAGCTTTATTAATATAATCTGTTTTATTCATGATTACTGTTGTGTTGCCTTTGTCGGCTTTTGTGATAATAATCGTTTTGTATTTTTTAAGTGAATACAGAGCCTTCAATTCTTCTTTTGAAATGTTTGGTGTAATGTGTTTTTGTTTAGTCAGAATATGGGATGTCTTTTGACGTAGTAAATACGACTCTTTTTCCGGTAGTTGTGCGATCATTGGTTCTATAATTGGAGCAATTTCAAGAGTAAATAAAGAAGGAACGAATTGAGCGAAGAAATTTCTTTTCAATTAGTTTTTCATCATGGCTCTACACTAATATATATACGTTTTACAATAATAATATAATACTCATCGAGTGGATACGTTACGTAATAATTACATAATGACATTTAAATTAACATTAATTAATTGGAAGAAAGAGGATTATTAATATTCAAAGTGATCAAGAAGTTGCTAAGTTGCGTAATGTAAGAAACAAAGAAGGAACAGAATTTTAACGGATGGTCAATAGGATGGTAGTTACGTAAGAATCAAGAGATGAATGTTGAGAAGTTATAAGGCTCAAAAGAAATTTCTTCGCTCAATTCGTTCCTTCTTTATTTACCAAATGGCATAATGGGAATTTCAAGAGTGCTAAGTGGTTTTCTGTGTAAATTGAAATTTAGTCCCTTCTCTAGTAGAGTGATTTCGTGACTGTTTAAGTTTCTGTTAGACAGATTATGAACAGTTCTTCTTAGATCATTCGAATTATATTTTATTGTTGATGTTTTCCTATCTTTCTTCTTTTCTTTGATGTTTTCGAATGTTTTAATTTGTCGGTGTTTCGATGAATATATAACTAACTAGTTTATTATATTCCTAATGAGTGTAATTTAATCTATTAACATTGTAAATTGTGTGCATCCATTTAGTTATTGATTATTTGATATAAACTATTATCTAGTTCATTATATCCGAATAAAACTATCGACTAAATAAGTCAATCATATACCATTCATTGTATTCTAACATTAGTAATCGATCAGTTCATTTACAGTGTTGCCTTTTTCTCTACATCGAGCAATATCAGTCTTGACCTGTTGTAACATGTAACAAGCAGGAACATTTTCGTCTCCAAACCAGTAGCTAAACTAGTATCTTCATAAATTACAA